GGGATGCTGGCAGTGTCCCACCAGGTGCCGTCACTGCGCCATCCCCCCAGTTTTAACAACCAACCCTGGTGGAGAGCCACTGGTCTAATGGGACGGAGACAGGCAGCCATGGCGGATGGAAGCAGCAAGGAGTTGGGGGAAAAGGTCAGCACTGAGGCAGCTGGAGGCCAGTTCAGAAAGGGGCCCACTGGTGCATTCATTGGTGGGGTTGGATGAACAGATTGGGGAGGGGAGGGGGAGAGGAAAGGCCTGTGGTGTCTCCTACTGCAGGCTTAGCCCGGCCCAGGAGCCTCTTCAACGTTGGCAGAATGGAGGCCGAGGCCGTGGCTCTGGGTTCTCGCTCTAAAAGCGCGAGAACGGTCATGGTGGACAGACAGGCAGGGGCTTCCGCAGCACTGGCTGCCTCCCCCACCCTCCACTGGGCAATTAAAACCTGGCTGGCCGTGGCTCCTGCCTCCCCGACATTACGAGCATGAAGAGATCTTGACCCTTCCACTTTCCCGCTCTTGAAAGGAGGCGCAGACACGTGGAGCTGATGAGGCACTTGTGTGGGCGCTGAGGCCCCGCGCAGCCTCCCCCGCCCCCGATTGCTGTGTTGGCTGACTACTCTCCCCTCACCCAAACAGTGCTGCTGCCACTTCCTGGCAAGGTGCCACCACCACCCAGAGCTGCCAACTGCGGCCCCTGGGGTGAGGGGCAGGTTTGAATTCATGAATGGGCATCTGTCAAGTGCTATGGTGTGGGAGCCCTGGGACCCCCCCCTGCGGGGAGAGGCCACCAAGTGAACAGGGAAGGGACCTGTGGGCAGCGAGTGCACAGGGGAGACCAGGCGGCACGTGCCCGGAGAAACCGCCCCCAAACAGGGTTAGAGGGAGCTCCTGGGAGGAGGTGGCCTGCGTGTGCACTGGAAGGAAGGGAAACTGCTGGCCGCTCCCTGTACACCCAGGGTCCCGGGAATCAGCACGAGCCTCAGGCAGATGTGCTGCTCTCAGCAACAGGGCACATGAGTATGGGGACAGCCCCCCCCAGGTGGTGAGAGCCCAGAGTCCCCTTGAATGTCTCCAGGCTGAGTGATCAGGGCAGGGAGACAGCCTCCCTGGGAAGGAAGAGGGAGACGGTGTGGGGGTGGGGGAGGGGGAGGGAGGGGAACATGGTGGGTGGGCCGAAGGGTCCTCAGGAGAAACACATCATTCTCTCCTCTTCTCCCACCTGCCCACCTGCCTGAACTAGCGGTGTCAGATGAGGGCCTGGCTCTGCCTGTCGGGCTCAGAGAAGGCTGAGCCGTGGGTTCGGGGCTGGGCTCCTCGGGTGTCTCTCCCGACTCCTCCTCCAAGGCACAGGGGGTTTAGGGGAGCTGTGATGGCCGAGGGAAGGGTCTAGGGGCCTGGGATGCAGTGTCACTGAGGCCTGCAGAGCCTGGAGGGTCAGTCTTACACCCACCCACCCCACTGCTGAGTTCTCCCCCGTCTGAACATCAGAAGGAAGGGGCTGAATGCAACCACGTGTCAGGCCAGGAAGCTCAGCATCCTGCTTGCCGTGACCAGCGTCACCCACCTCCTGTAGGGACACCTTGGCCCAGGTGCCCCAGGTCCAGGTCTTGCTCCAAGAGGGGGTGTCTAAGCCTCTCCTGCCCGATGATTCTGCTCATGATGCCAGGCGTGCCCCCTGGGAGCACCTAGTGCCGGCCAGTCTCCAGGAGACCCCTCTGCATCCCAGCCTGGCCCTCTCCATTCCCCTGGAGGCAACATTCCCACCTCACACACAAGGACACAGAGGCTCCCAGGCGACGCCAGCCCCAGCCCCTGCCTGGATGAGACGGGGTCACAATTCCCCCTGCTTGCCCGGCTCCAGAGCCTGGGTGCCTGCCCCTCCCAGAACTCCCAGGGGTCAGGAGGCAGCAGAGCGTGCTGGCTGGGGCGAAGAAGCCAGGGTGGTGGTCTGCCAGGAGAGGGCAGAGCACAGGCAAGGACTTAGGGGCAGGACCTCAATTGGGGAACGCTAGGGATAGCTGGAGAGGGTGACTGGGTTGAAGAGGCTACAAATGCAAGCTGGGAGCTGATGCCCTCCGTTCCCTATTTAATACCCCTGCTCCATGCCTACTGTAGGTGGGGGAATCTAGGGCATGGGGGTGGAGTCAGCCAGCTGGAGAAACTGAACGCTGGGCCCTAAGGAGACACACTGGACCCCACTCCCCAGAGAAACCCACACCAAGGGAGGCTCCCCTGCTGCTTTTGTCTGCACCCCCTCCCCAGCACAGCCAGCAGGGGGGCGGGGGCGGGGCCACGGGCAGACGCTAGGAGGCAGAGTAAAAGGGCCTTCAGGTGCCATAGGGACAAACCAGTCTAATTTAGGATCAGAGAAGTGAGACATTTAATTGAATTTTAATAGCATCTGGCCCTTTGTTCTGAAATCCTCGTGCATGAGGGCTGGGGGAGGGTGGGGTGTACATCAGGCAGGGCAAGCCAGTGGCCAGGCTAGTCCCTGTCCTCTAGGACTCCAGACTTCGAGGAGACAGACAACAAGCTCCAGGGCTCACTGTGCTGAACAGGTGACATGGGAGGGGCAAATCTAAGAAGACAGCCTGGAGGAGGTGGTGTTTAAGCTAGCCTTGGGAAGTGGGCGGCATTTCCAAAGATGGAGAAGGGGAAGAAGGAGGGCACCAAACCTGGGCCTAGAGCCAGAGTGAGCAGAAGCGACTGGAGTGTCGTGGGCTGCGCAGGGACCCCTCGCAGGTGCAGCCCGTGCGCCACCATTTCCACCTGATAAGCAAGGGGGTGGGGAGGAGACAAAGGCCTGAGTTCTGAGTTACGGATGGTAGCCACCCACCCGTCTGTGATCCTGGCTCCTCTGTAGTGCGGGAAGCCCCAGGAAGCAGCCAGTCACCTCTCCCCCCATTTTCTATGGCTTAAAATGCATAGCGAACAACACCCCCACTGTAGCCTGGGCACTTGGGGGAGAAGTGAGCCCTCAGGGATGCCAGTGGGAGGGCACTGTGCCAAAGCCCCAGCCTCCGGGTGTGGAGAACACAGCCTCATAGGTCCCTCAGTGGTCTTCTCCAGCCCCACGCCTGAAGGCTGGCTGGCCCTAGCACCAGGGTAACCCCCAGCAGGGGCCCCGGAGGTGTTCCTGGAGGCGGCCAGTCGACCCTGGCTCATGGATAGCAGCTGCCTCAGGTCCCCTTTCCTTCCTTCGGACCCTGTCTCCTGAGCGTGAGCACCTGGTGTGTGTGAGCCCTGCACTGGGTTACCAGGTACAGGGACAGCGGGAATACATCTGTGCCACCCCCTCCCCGGGAGTGCAGTCTGTTCAAGGTGACAGTGATGTGGCTCACGCCGTTCAGTGTGGAGCCGGGGTGGGAAGCCCACGGATGTTGACCAGGCGTGGGGCGGGGGGTGGTGGAGAGTTTTCCCGCAGAGGAGAGTGAGGGACAGGACCCGTGGCAGAGGGCGCAGCGAAGTAGAGGCCAGGGGTACAGAGTGCGTGCGTCTGCTTGCGTGCCTGGCGTCACGTGGGGAGGAAGGGACTCGCCTCTAGCCGGGCTCTGTGGCGCACGTGTGCAGGAGTGTCATGAGGTGGAGCTTGGGGCAGAGGCATGCGTGGGCCACCCCCAGTGCAGACAGCTGTCCTCGGCGTCTAGATGAGACCTCACCTAGTGACCTCAGTCCTCCCAGTTCCAACCTTGCGCTGCCCCCAAAAGAACCTCTGGCTGTCCCTGAGTCCCCTTCAGAAAGACACAGCGTGGCACGTGGTGCCTGTGACCAGGCTCGGAGTAAGAAGGTGGCCAACAGTTGGGGTTCTTACTCACTGCTCGGCGGCAGCCCCCAGTCTGCACTGGGCAAACCTCACCTTCTCTGGGCCTCGGTTTCCCTGCCTGTACAGCAGCAGCAACAAGCATAGCTCACAGATCTGTCATCAGAGTTCGTGCCCCGACCTTGGAGCCACAGGTTCAGGAGGGGGTGCTCCTGGGGGACCACGTGGGATGGGCCGCTGGGACAGGGTGGCCCTGTGCCTCTAGGGCCCCACCCAGCACGTGGGCCAAGCCCGGGCTGTGGGACCTCACGCCAGCCCAAGCCTCTCTGGACACCTTGCCATGAGCCCGTCCCCGGCTCCCACCCCTGCGGGCCAAGCTGTCAAGGCTGCTGGATGCCTCCCGCCTCTTGGCGCAAGCACCAGGGCCATCGTTTAGGAGGCTGGTCACGGCCGTCGGGCCCTTTGTTCTGGCCTTCCTGTGTTTGCCCACTCTGCGCCTGGGCAAATGGGAATTGCAGCGTGTTTGCTGTGTCAACACCAGCTGGGACCCAGTTACTGAGATAGCTGAGGGTGCAAGGCCCCCTCCGGCAGGCGCCCGGGGTCCAGCGCCTCCCTGGGCAGTTGGAGTGAGTAGGCAAGTGGGCAGCTCCCAACCCGGGACCCACCCCTTCATCCTCAGGACTGCCAGGCCCGGGGCTCGCCGGTGTCTGGGACCAGCAAGGGCAGCCCCAGGCTGGGGCGGGACTCAGGAGGGACCAGCACAGCCCCCACTTGGCACCACCCCAGGAGCTGCCTGGCAGGAGCGGCCTTCAAGCATTTTGAAGGCTAAGTTTGGGGCTCCACCACCCCCTGTACAAACCCTTCCGAGTCCCCAGTCCCACTCCTGCCCTCTCCTCCTCGGGGTGCTCAGTCGTCGGGTCCAGCAGTCCAAGGAGAGGCCTGAGCAGTCAGGCAGATGGACAGGTGGGCGGACAGGCAGGGAGACAGACGGGGTCAGGGCCGTGGGTCAGAACTCCGGGGGAGGTCTCTGGGTGTCTTCTGGAGTCCCAGAGAGGGAGAGCGGCCTGCCCAGAGCCCAGAGAGGACCCAGGTCCCTGCCCTTAGCCAAGGCACTTCTACCACTTTGGGGGGAGCAGGGCCCTTGGCTGCATGGCAGAGCCCAGCCCCTAAATCCTATTTACTTCTGGAAGGAGACCCTCACCCACCTCATTGGTAGCTTTTCCAGAAATGAACCTGTAAGGGCGACTCACCCGCAAAACAGAGGCCTCGGGGCGTGGACCAGGCAAGTGGCTGCCGAGGCAGAAGGCCAGGCGTGGTTTCCAGGCTGGCACTGCCGTGTCAGCTGCCTGGCGACTTCCTCTTGCTGAGTCTCTGCTTCTCTGCCTGTAAAGTAAGGTGATAAGCGTTCACTCAGCAGGACTGGCAAGAGGATTGTCAGAGCCAATATGTGGCCCGCTCATAGACAGGCACGTGCCATGTGGTCATCACCATTGCTAGAATGGGGCTCGGGCTTTGAGGACAGTCCCTGTCACTTGACCTCACTTTGGGATTTCATGGGGGAGTGTCCCAGCACCCTGAAGTGCTTAGGCTAGAGGGAAGTGGTGTGTCTCCCAGAGGGTAGGGAAGAGCATCCTGAGAAGGGTACGGCTCAGAGGGGCCCTAGAGATGGGGGTGGAGCATCAGGCAGAGTCCAGTGAGGCTGCGGAGCAGGTGGAAGGGAACAGGACTGGACCCTCCAAGTTCTGGATCAGGGTGTGGAGTTAGACTCCAGCCCAGGGGAAGGGGGTGGTCAGAGTGGGGGCCAAGGTGGTTGTCAAGAGGGGTGGAGGCCCACAACCAGGCGAGGGCAGGGGGCTAAGGGAGGGAGAGCCTGGACAGCTCCTGGTGCCGAGCAAGAGGTTGGGTGAAGGTGGCACATGTGTGGACGGGGTGTTGGACAGCAGCAGGCTGCAGAGTGAGAAGGCTGAACCTTCAGGAATCCAGGGGGATTGTCAGCAAGTGGGCAGCGCTGCCTGCCTTCCTTGGCAGGCAGGAACCCCGGGGAGCTTGGAGTGTGGCGGCAGGAGCACGCGAAGTCACAGGTGAGGGAGGTGTGGCCTTCTACCTGGACCCACTCACATCTCCGTGTCCGGGTGCAGACGACCATTGGTTGCGCCTTCCTGCCTAGAGCTCCGAAGGGCTTGAAGCTCTCGTGAGCGTGCATCTTAGACCCTTGACTCCAGTCACTGGGGGCCTCAGGGCCCACTGGGGACTGGCCTTCAGACCTCTGGGCTTTGGGGGCCAAGAGCACCTTCCTGTGCACCTGTGGTGCCACAGGCCAAAGAGTCAAAGAATGAGGCAGCAGGAAATGGGAGGCAGGACCCAGGGCTAATGTGCCCCGACACCCTGTCTGGTGGGAGGGGCCTGTCCCCAGGTCTGGCAGATAGTAACGGCTGCTAAAACCGAGAAAATGGACCTATCTGTGCTCAGCCAGTGGACAGTGGTGACAGCCAAGCTAATGCCATGGCCACCACCCCGCTGTCCTTGGTGTCCTGTGTTCATGTACAGGGTCTGCCACAAGCGCAAGCCCGACCCCAAGACACAGCTTGAGGGGGGAGGTGCGGGTGGGGAGGAGCACATGAGAGTGTGGGGGCTCTTCCCTCTCCTGGGCACATGTGTGCATGTACCCACGGGGGTGTCCAGACGTGAGCACATGTGTCCCCGTGAACACGCACAGGGCTGCTCCTTCCCTGAGGTTTCCGCTCCCCGAGGCCCAGGCAGAAACACCAGGCTCCGCAGTCCCTCAGTGACGACACTGGCCTCTCCCCATCGCCCATGTGCCTGCCTAGACCTCCTTTCATCAAATATTCTCCTGCTAATCTCATCTCCCTGTGTGACTGCCATGTAATTAGTTCATTTTGCAAAATACCGCATCTGTCATATTTTCTCCTGGTTTTCTCCTTTTCCCAGGAAAAGGTAGGAGGGGATGGAGTGGAGGAAGGTTTCCAGGTGTGAGGCCACCTCATGGGTCAGCTGTGGCCCCACCCCCTTCACACAGGGCCTCCCCCGTTGCACCGACACATGCGCATCCCAGACCCAGGGTCTCCTGAGCAGGTGGGGGGCAGTGGGCAGGGCCTGAGGGGGTCAGGAGGGAGAGATGGTGCCTACCGACTGGGCCCTGTCCCACGAGCCCCTCTGCACCTCGGGGTGCCCTGGGACTACTCAGGCCCAAGCTGGGCTCAGACTGGTGGGCTACTAAGTGGCATTGCTCCTGGTGGGCCTGTGATAGTAAGCAGGCTGGGGGTGAGGGGGCAGGACGTCGGATGGCATCTGCTCAGCGCGGGTGGCCACACACGATGGGTCAAGCCTGCAGCCAGGCGTGCAGTGAATGCTTGATGGGAAGCCCAGGAACCTTCGTTGTCTTGTATCTGCCCACTTCTACTCATCGGACAGGTTCCACAGTGGGGGCTGCCCTGAGCAACCACCCCTCCCACCCCCTCACCCCAAACAGAGTCTGGTGGGCACGGTAGACTGTGGACAGGGCACATGGGGAACCCCCCAGTGAGTCACATGTGGCCCTGGCCTTGGCCCTGACAAAGCAGGATAGCTCCAGCCAGGGGGCTCCAAGCCTCCTCTTCCTCCCTGGGAGTAGGAGGTAGGGCCAGGGAGAGGGAGCGGCAGAGGGAGCCACGGGGCCGAGCGCCCTGGCCCCGCCTCCCCACCCATTGCCCAGATGGCTGCCAGGCCTCACCTGCACAGAGAGCCTGCAGCCAGAGGGAGACCTGCCGCAGCCGTGGACCCTGGGGGCCGGAAAGGCTGGGTTCGGAGCCTGCCTCTGGCATGCCCTACTTCTCTCCCCTCCGCCACCGCTCTGTCTCCCCACCTTCTCTTGCTTCACCTCCCTGGAGATGTGAATTCTCTTAAACTTTTAATTAAAAACATTCTCCTTTCTCCCCCTAAGGTTTGCTTCCCGATGATTTTTCTCCTAGAAGGAGAAGCAGGAGTAGGAGGAGTGGCAGGCAAGGAGCGGAGGTCAGGCCTTCCCAGGTCTCCATGGGGGCTGCTGTGGAACCAGGGCCTGGCCACCACCTCCCACCACCGGCCCGTGTCCCCCTGCCCAGCTTCACGACTCTGTGGAGAGAGGCATTTCTGCGGGCCCCAACCCCCTGGGCGTCTGCCAGATTTGAGGAACAGCCCAGCTCCCGAGGGTCCTGCGTGCAATCCCATTGTGTCCCACACACCCCTCAAGAGGACCCCGGCCCCGGCCCCTTGTCACTGGCAGAAAGGCCCCGACGTCCTGTGAGAGCACTCCCAGCTCCAGCAGCCTTGGGGGCGCTCCTCAACCCCTGGGTCTCAGGTTGGGGCGGTGACCCTCAGGGCTCCGCATCAGCTGAGATGAAGCCCAGGCTTGTGTCACGGGCCTCGAGGTCACTGGCTGGGCCACCAGTGCCTCACAGGTAGAATCCCCAGCCAGCCCAGGGGTACAAGGTCAGGTCCTGGCTCATGAGGTCAGAGTCCTAGGGATGCTGGGGACCCGGGTCTTGATGTCAGGGGACCAGAGGAGCTCATGACACTGGAGTGGGCTCAGCCTGTCGCCCCGCCCCCAGGCAGTGGCCTGTTTGCAGACCCCTGATGCTGGAGGGAGCTGCCACCATGTCCTTGGGTCCGAATATCAGAGTCAGAGCCCACTCCACGTCTGGAAGTTCCTCCTTGTATCAGATCATGAGCCCTCTTGCTGAAGCCTAAACCCATCTCCTCAACTCCACCCTGGGCTTAGACTGCCTTGCCCATAAGCCCTCCCTGGCCCAGGAGACAGGGACTGAGTCACCACCTCCCTTTGTATCTGTCACCTCCCCTGCTTCTCTGCAGGTTGAGCCCCTCCATCTCAGGACCTCCAGGCCCAGGCCGGGAAGCTACCCCCAAACTGAAGGCTCATCCAGGCACACTCCCCATGTGCCCCCCTGAGATGCTCTCACGATGGGGTGTACCTGTCCTGCCCCCAGGAGCCACGCCCCCTCCCATCACTGGAACACTCAGGGACTCAAGCCTCCAGCAAGGCCAGAGCCCAGAGGGGAACAGAGGCACCGCCACCTCTACCCGGGCCCAGGCCTCCAGGGGGCGCCCCTCACCCTCTGCCACAAGTTCCCTCTCCTGGGCAAGGGCACAGAGGGGACAGTGCCAGCCCTGAGGGGCTGAATCAAGGGCACCCCTCCGCTCACCTCCTGGGCTGCCCTCAGCACCCTGCTGACACTCCCGGGCCCGAAGGCCACCCCGACTGGCCCTGGGGATGCTGAGGGGACGTCCCATCAGGCAGGTGGGGCTGCAGCAGGATTTGGGGAATTGTTGGGGAGAGGGGCAGGCGGGCCAGCTAGTGTGATAGCACAAGCAAGGGCAGCCCCCACCTGCTTGCGGGGCTCTGGGCAGGGGCTGGTTGGAGGCAGTGGCAGCGGCAGTGGGAGGCCTTGCATGCCACACGAGGGTAGACCCCAGGCCCGGAAGCCCCGGCAGCCTCTTGCGTGAAACACGGGCTTTATTCATAGTGCAGGTATGTACACTGAGCACAGACTGTGTACCAGGGTCTGTGTCATGACACCTGCCCCACAGGTGCTCTGAGGCTCTGGGCATGGCAGGTAGGGGTGACCCTAGGGGAGGAGCCTGGGGTTGGGGGGCAGCCTCTTCTGGCTCATTAACACAGGCAGAAGTCCAGCCCTCCCTCTCAGGCGCTGCTGTCTCCTCGCTGGCTCCTCCACGGGGCCCATTAACTTCCGAAGCTGGTACGGGCAGGGGTGGGGGGATCTTTCTCCACTGCAGCCCATCTTGGTGTGCCCTGAACCGCCTCACACCAGGCTCCGCCCACCTGTGTGGTTACCAGAAGCCTCACAGTGACAGAGGCGGGCCTGATCTTTCTCTCTGGTACCTGGCAGTCCAGATGGGAGGCACAGAGTAGACCAGTCACACGAGGGTGTGTAACGGTGTGTCCCAGAGACAGACGCCGCGGGGAGGCAGGGAGGGAGGGGTGCAGCACCACCCCACAGCCACACGTGCGGACAAGGAGCCAGGCAGGGGTGAAAGCAGTGAGTGGAGGAGAATGTTCTTCCCCCAATGTGGGCGAGTACCAGCCCCCCAGCTGGGACACAGCTTTCCGAGGCCCTGTGGGGTCTCTCCTCCCCGCTGCCCAGCCCAGCAGGAGCCTCCCCCAAGCCCTGCAGACACTTGCCCCAGCCCAGCAGGGCCTGATCAGGGCCTGATGAGCACGGCCTCCGAGCAGGGGGTGAGAGGCACAGGGTGGCCCTGCAGGCAGAGATGGGTCTTCCTGGGTCACTCAGCCC